CTCGCGTCACTGACGTCGCGCTACTTCGCGTGCTATCGACATAGAGTGAAGTCTTTTCATCGGCTGCTCATCACCAAAATTATCACAGCCATGACGTTGATATAGCATAATGTAGAGAAATACTTTTGATGGGATATCACTCTCAGGCTATTGGATGTATACCTTCTTCTCAAAGAAGAATCGGGAATCGAGGTAGTGGATTTCCGTTGCGAACAACTGCCACGCCACAGACCGTCTGGGACACGACCGTATCGATCTCCAAAGCAGACTTAATAGTTCACGTTACTTGGTATAGTCGGCGAGAGCGATAGTCGCAAAGTGAACAGTCGCAGCGGTCGACAAGAGTATGAGGGAAGCGTTGAATAAGAGAGAGTTCGATGGAGTATCACCCTTGCGGAGTGGATGGACCGGGACTATGAACAGGAATCGTGTACCGAAGGTGATACAACCTGAAATACTCCAAGGTGGATGAGAGGTCATCGGATGAGGATATCACCGTTAATAGTGGCTGCTTGGAGGTAGAGTGTTAGGATGCCGAACACTATGAACGTTACAATGAATAATGAGTCGCTACTGATGAACTCAGTGAGAACCCAGTTGAGCATGGGCGAGACGGGGCTTCTGCGATGTACATCCTTTCTACTCAATACCACGTCACATGTCATACCCGTTCTTTCTTGCCAACATAAACAGCACCACGTGTAGGAGCCATGAAATGGACAGAACCAATGAAACTATGCCGAGGGCCATCCTGCCAAAGCGTAGGAGCTCGCCGTCCCCTCCATTTCGCCGTGTCAATGCATCTGCATGATGGAACCTAGGCATGGATGAAAGAGCACAGTATCGAGGCATATGGACATATCACGCATCCTCGAGCATATGCACATCGGCTTTGAATTGGTTGAAGTCACGCTTGAGAGAAGCCTCCCTCCGCTTCTTCCTGAACCCTCCTGAATGGTCCGTCCCACAGCGATAGCCGACACATACTCAACTAAGAGTCTCCAATCTAGCCTCGTCTTGTTTGAGCTTATCTCCTTTGGCTTGCAGACTTGTCGCTGCTTTTGTAAGCACTTCTCGATGGTTGCTGTGAACAAACATGAACCGTATAGGATCTCGCACCGACTCGACCTACTTGTACTCGGCCTCACGTGAATCCGATGACGGAGGTTTTCTAATGAAGCCTATCATCAGTTTGAATGGTATAGCTGCTATTCCACAGCCTATCAGCACAACATCGCCAGCTACAGTCCACTTCAATGCACTCACCGCCAAAGATGGCGAAAAGAAACCAACCAAGGAAGCTCATGATTGTTATGATATAGGTGTGGAAAGCAACTGATAGGCAGGTTAATATCACTTCGTATAGCGTTCTCAGCTGGTAGTACTCCTAATCCTAGCGGTTCCATCAGGATTGCCATTGCATACTTCGAAAGCGGATTTGTCAGTCGACTGCTGCCCTACAGCACTGCAAGGGATTCTTGCCTTCGAGAAGAGGAGGTAAGTTATGCCTATGATGGATATCTAACCCGACTAATACGACACTTGTACAGGAGGAGGGAACTACCAATCCCAAAGCGAGGATGGCTCCTCGGAACACTACTGCTCGGATCCTCTGCCTGAGGTTCATGCTTCCAGAATCTTCCATCTGAAGACTGCGAGTGGCTGCAATGAAGTATCACCGATATTATCGACTTCGTATGAGAGCATAACCAACGGATTGACAATGAAGGTGAAGATCATTATAAGTATGTATGCGGTGGACCATACTATCTCCATATTCAGACCTGCCAGAGAGGGAAACTCCTACTCAAGACCGAGTGCACGGGATGGATACCTCCCCCCTCTGCCGAGTTCTTCACATCGATGGGAAGGAGCATAGTGATTACTCCGGACAATGTGAGGGATAAGATGAATGTTATCTTGCGGGAGGACTTGATATATGGATTGGAGAGCCGAGTCGGGTACTTTGGATATCCACAGACACTTGAAACCTCCATCCTCCGGCATCTGGAAGTAGACCAACAGCTGTAGAGATGCACAGGCTGAGATGAGGGTGAAGATGGGCAGGAGCAATAGGAGGAATACATCCATCTGTTAATAATAATAATCTTCCTAACAAGTACATAACCGGTCTACCACCCCAGCAGCAGGCCTGTACGCAATCGAGCTGATTGCAAGAGAGAAGCAGAAGCAGCAGCAGTACCACGTGGCGGATGACAAATATGGTCGAGTCCACAACTCTATAGGGTGGAGTGCATTGTATGGAACTACACCTTCTATCAGATAGATAGTAGTAGGAGGTTAGTAGCGAAAACCAGTGATGCGCAATAACGTGAAGTGATGGAGAGAATACGAAGCAATGAAGTTGATGCAGTAACCTTACTGATAGGAGCAGGATGAATGAATCGCGGTTATTGAAATATGGTAAAAATATTCAGCGTCTTGAGCATGATGATCATGAGCCTTATCATAACTGTAAGGAAATCACTGCGGTTCTAGGGACCAACATAGGATCAAGTCGGCTCTACATTGTGGGAGGTTTCAACGTCCATCGATCGTTCTAAACTGGAACTTCCAATGCCTTCCTACTTACCGAACTCTCTGCCGTGTAACACACTGTCTACCGGTCCATACTGCAGGCTCAGGCAGCAGTGACTGAGCCTGCAGCTAAACCCCTATACTGGCTATTGCTCGCCTGGTCGAAGGGGGGCTGTGTAAGGAGAAGAAGAAGAAGAATGCCTTCACTCATATCATATGAGTCATATGATGATTGAAACTCAGTCTGGCCCTAATAGATGCCCTAAATTACAATGTGTTCTCAGGATGCAATGCTCTCAATGATTCTGAGGACACGTGAGAATGCCCGTTCACTACACCCACGGGGAGCCGATTAATGATAACACAATATAACGGTCTCTGTCTGATAGGTCACCAGATAGTCAGATGAGGCCTCAGGATGATGATCATGATGATCACGTACATGTCCGGAGGGCTGTTCTAACTCTCTCATCTCTATCTATCACACGAAGGGGTAGTATCTGATAGACGAGAGCATCTCCACTCTTATACACACGATCATGAGCTCACTAACGAGAAGGGCTCCCCCGGTGGTGGAGCTGCTGCTTCAGAGTCTTTCGCCTCGTCGTCAGTAGTAACGGTATGAGGTTTGCCTATGACCGATACCTTACTACGTGGGGGTATCTACAGGACATGATGGGCAATCAGAAGCATTATACGAACACACCAGAGCAGCAGCCACTCTAAGAGGGTCTGCGTAGAGATCAATCGGCTGACCAACCGTTCCTCCGCCTCCTCCTTTTCCTTTCCCACCGGCGGCGGCGGCACTCGTAGACTCCAGTGCTAGCTCTATGATCTCAACCGTTTTCATCTTCTCCTCGTATGCTGCGAGCTGTTCCAACACCTATACAAATACAGGCACCATTCACCTGTGTCTAATGCACATCACTCACTTCCTCTCGATATTCACATTCCTGTTGCACTAGTTTAATGACCTGCCCGTACTCTTCTATTAGTGTCTCACAGTCTTTCTCTCGTTCATCCACTTCACTCTGCCTTATACTACTTATCCAAACTGGTAACCATGGGCTGTATTACCTCTTTGCCCTCATCCTTCTTAGCTTCCCTCTGAGCTCTTAATGCAGCCAACTGTCCCTCTCGATGTTCCATCTATCACCAACAACCTGACGCCCAACAGCATCATCATAGTGCTACTACCTTCCCAGTGTACTGCGTTGCCAGCCTCTTTAGTCTTCCCATTTCGATCCTCTCCTCAGCCTTCCTACTCAGTATCGAGGCATCTATCTCCGCCAGAGCTTTCTCCCGGATAAAGTCGCCAAGAGCAGCGCATGAGCCTTACACCAACAATATGGAAGCGGTGATTATAGGCCCCCCCCCACACATCATAAAGTTCTTACAGTGGTTGGAGAAGAGGCCGCCAGATGGGGGTATGGTGATATTACTACCATCCGGAGCTTCAGGAGCTAGACCATAATGAGCTTGGAACAACATCATATACCCACAGATGATCAGCACCTCACCCACTAACAAGACTCGGATATATGACCAACAACACAACTGTTATCGAGCATGATGATGGTACTTTCATCATCGTAGTCAAGTCCATATCATGATCATGAGCAACTATGATCATTTGTCATGAGGCTCAACCATTATCATAATGATAATGCTACAACGGCTAGGTGAGCAGTGGCCTCAGCTACTGCCACTTTATCATCAACCTTCATCATTGGCACTCTCGAAGATGTGACCAGCATCTGGGGAATACGTAACAAACATGAAGAAGCCCCACTCGATATTCACCCTACTTGACTTCATGCCAGCTGGATCATACACTACGATGCTCTCAAGCCGGGCACGCCGTCCACTAGGGGTAAGCTGTCCTCGTGCCTCCGCAGCTCTATCAACTTCTCTCTACTCGAATGAAACCATCTCGGAGGACATGGGGTATATCAAAGCCTACCTCTCCATTGCCTCCATCATCGAAAGCATTGCCTTCCTCCTCACTCTCATACCCCATCTCGAACTCAACTTCCCCGCATAACTCCATACACCTATAGAAGGAGGCTATGGGAATTGTGAAGGAGAGACGGTAGGGGCAAGTACCACGTCACAATAGCCATCCGAGAGAGGATGAATACTGAGGAGAATAGAAAGAAAATACAGGCCGTCAAGGCCAAGTAAGCACTGAACAACAACAAGAGGCAAGCACTGCATAGGGGGTCTGCTTTCGGGTTGGCCGCTCACCTTATACTAGGATGGTGCGACCCTTCACTCCCCTCTACCACAAGGGCTGCCCCCAATGAGGTAGGACTAGGGGTACTTCCACTAACTATGAAGGGTAGAACCTACCAAGGAACAACGAGATAGTAGTCAGCGCTACTGCTGTTGGCATATGTTGATGCTCCGCTACCTGCTTTGCTACTGGGCAAACCTTCTTCACTAAAAGTGTTGCCGGGAAAAGTGCTATAAGGGATGCCTATATGTGATGAGGTAATCGATAATGGAAGGGATTCGGGCTCTACCCTACAAAGGTAATGAATAGGAGAGCCATGACAATGCCTGTAGCCCATTTAACAATACACATGGCCTTATCAGCTCGGTTGGGCTCAACAAATATCGCGCTTAACCGTCTGCGGTAACTAAACCACGGTGATGATGGTCAGTGAGTTCGGGCGACTACTACCCGAATCTAGATGTACCGGTGACTATAAAGGTTGCTACAGTACAGAGGGACATGAGGCATGTGAGTAAGATGAATACCTGATGAAATATACCCGAGGCCGTTCCTGCTCCAGGGCCGACTAGCATCCCTCACCGTTCCTGTGACATCGGTAATAACTAATAAAGCGTCGACAGTCGCACAGTCCCCTTCGGACACTGGCCCACTTGGGGTGCTATTCACCTGTATACACGCTTACGGAGGCAAGCTGGCAGTGCCCTACCATTCCTCTGCATTCCTTTGCAATGATACTTGCAGCGTACTCCCCATCAGCACTGCTGCCGCCTCGACGTAACCTCATACCACTCAGACCGAATAGCAGACTGACCTTACCTGGATCATAAAGACGAGTGAGCCGCAAGAGGTATCTTAAGATACCTGCCCCACCGGCCCAAGTCCCAAGAAGCAACTCCTTCCATGAACATGTAAACCAATCTCCCAGGTAGAGGGATGTAAATGCTAGGACAAAGCCAACTGAGGATTAGACAGCTCAACATTATGGCTACTCCTAAGGTGAGTGCACCTACTTGAGGTAAGTATGCATGCAGCTGTAGTATAGATCGGTGTCCGACATGGCAGAGCCTCCTTATGTCGAGTAGCAGGGCTGAGATGATAACGAGAGGAGTGGTACGAGTACACTGTGGGTAAGCCGTACCAGCAGCAGCAACAACAGCATGTCAGGCAGGAGAGGATGCTTGACATTCGAAGGATGTCTCAGGATAGAAGCATGAGAACTACCAGGTAGTCGTAGATGTCCTTACCTCACTGTTTGCCAAGAGGAAGGCGGAATTGACCGTGTAACGCAAGGCAAGCTAGAGTAGTGATGAGTAATAGTAATAAGGAGTAAATCCAAGTACGTTGGTAGCAGTGTTATCGTGAAGGGACGTTATCAATGGGATATAGGACAGTGACTATTGGTACCACTAGTGATAGTAGTGGTATGATAATATCATCATGATTTACAATCCATCAAGCATCAACAACAACAAGAAGAGGGCAAGAGGACAACAACAATAGGGAACCATTATAGGATACTTCTCGACCAAGTCTCATCGAACGAAGGTAGGATGGTCATTAGACCTATGAACTGCTCTTGGTGATGGTAGGCTTCCCTTTTCGCCTTTGACAACGATTATGCAACCGCTTATCCCGCATCAACTGCTGCTTGTTTCGTGGTCCATGAAGCCTAGCCTTCGCACGTTTGTATGCTGCAGCGAAATCGTTGTCCTGACACAAGATGTAGACAGCACTGCCATAGTAACACCAATAGTGCTTACCTTAGCCTCAACATGTTGCCGAACCTTGTGCCTATTCTTCCCCTTATCGTACTCTCTATCGTGAGAGTCTCTCATTGCTATCTTAGGTTGTAGTTGCCTCTGGGCTTGTATAATAGCCTCCTTCCTAGCCCGCTCTACCTCCTCTCTACCTTCCTCCTTCTCCTCATCATCATCACTATCCCATGAGGATACCTAACCAGAGCGACGATAATGAGGTGATGATGCACAAGCGGTTGGTGACCTTATTAGCGCCGTATTGAGAGCGAACACTCCTCGCTAGAGAGGCTCGTTCCTTAGGCTTGATAGTAGCAGCAGTACCACAGGATTCTACCCTTACAACCTACACTCTCTCATCATGATACTTCTGCCTACAACCACTGTACCTACCTCGGCTAACTTCGTCGCTTGCCCGACAACAGGATCCTCTTCTTGATTGGCGACAGGTTCAGAAGGCAGATCCTCTTCCTCATCAGGATCAGAGTTATCGTTTGACTTCTCCTCATCACCAAACTTTGGAGGATGCATACGGACAAAGACAGCTTGCTGCAGGCCAGCAGCAGCAGGAGGTACTACGACGAGAGTGATACAACAAGGCACGGCTGGGATGGCTAAGATACATGTCTCTCCTTTTGCATCAACATGTGCCTTCTTCTGAGGACTCTCCACATCCTCTACTGCATGCTTCCTCTTACGATCAGTCGGGGCCGCCTGATGGAGGGCCCTCTGCACTATGCCCAGTACTAAGGCCGATCTACCTCTTTATGAACCTCTTCATCACCCGTAAGGGTAGTAACACTTGAACTCACAGACCCTGAGCTCACAGCGTGGTTATCCAACTCCCCAGCCGTCGTAGAGGGGGTATCAGGAGGGGTAGTGAGGGAGTTGTAGAAGAGGGACTGATGCTGTTGAAGGGGAGCAGGCACTGCCTTCTTCGCCTTATTCTGCTCTGTGCTCGTTGTCGATACTGTCGGCTCTGACTCAACCTACAAAGGAGAATTCAAGTGCAATATGAGCCAATCGATGGTCTGAACTTACACTGAGATGACGCTGACTCTTACTATCCTTCTTTGACCGCTTCCTCTCATAGAACAATATATACGCTTGTTGTGAGAGGACAGTATGCTCCTTAGCCTATGATGACAAGCAGTATAGTAGAGGGATCACAGTGATCATACGGCCTACTGGGGTAACGGACTCGTCGTCACAACAATACCAGAATCCAGCAGGGTTACGAACGAATGCATAATAATGCCCTAGTTGCGGTGTTGCACCCGAATGGACCAATACACCAGACCTGAGCAGATGTCCAAGAGTAGCCACCATCATACCCCCTCTCTTACAGTGTATATTTGTTGGAGACACCAGGAGTAGATGCTCCATGATCAGCGATGAACTTAGAAAGATCGAGCTCTTTCTCGTATTTCACATAATGACCATCCTGAAACACCACAAACACACTGACCACAAGTAAGAAGCATCAGCGGCCTCACCTTCTGTCGTCGACCACCGAAGCGGCCATAACAGTAGCGCTTGAGACTGAGGGTGAGATTCATAGGGGCATCATACAGCCGGGTACTCTTCTTTGCAGTCACGTTACGTTTACACTTCGCACACTTATAAGCATTCTGTTCTGAAATAGCCATACCTGGATATGCAAGTGTACGAGAAAGAGAGTCTACCCTTGAAGATCTCCGGGGCGAAATAACGTGTAAGGCATTCATCTATGGTACGGCATCTCTGAGTAAGGTCGATGATACAACAATACAGGAGTCAATATGAGATAGTACAGAGATCGATAGACTGATATCCATATCGAAATGGAAGGTACAAGACACGTGTCCACAGTTGGCACATTGTATACGTTGAGCGGTATGATAGCCAAACATTTGTCCCAGCATAGTAGTCTGTGACACCGATGGATGTACAAAAGGAGCCTAATGGGAGCAATGGTCACTGCGTGGTTATACAGAGGCCCTACCTTCTTATTCTGAGCTGAAGGGGAGATCTTTGCTGGTAGGGCTTCGCTGCGAATACACGTGTCGATGAGCTGCCTCAAGGCATCATGTGCATCCTCTTGCCGACCCGGGCGGAAGCGGGCAAAGTAGAGGTTGAGATGGCGTAGGACCTGATAGGCCACGGTACCTCACATTGATGCACTGTGCTGGCTACCTCTGTGGGGGATAAATGACCACCATGGCTTTGATGTATTCGACAAACGAGGTTAGATAGGTTACAGAGTCCGCACCAAACACCCTAAGGTACGACTATACGAGGCATCCTGCCAAGGTTGGCGATGCTACCGCCCGTTTCCTCGGACAAGTTCTTTCGTGTATCTTAGCCTCACTGGCTTGGGCGAAGGTACTCACATAAGAGAGGCACTGGAGGGTTGAGTTGAGGTAGCATGTATTGCCTTGATTCCTCAGACCAGCACCATAGCTGAGCATTAATATGACCACTACCCTGCAATATCCCCACCTATTATTACGATTTAGACGTTCGCCAGCCATGATACTGCTCCAGTCCACCCTCTGGGAATACCCACTTATTAGGCCTTTGTGGTGCATCGTCTTTCTTATCGAGACCAGACAGACTCTAACATACACGTGATTATATCTCCTGTATACTCAACGAGCCCGGTTAGGGTCAGGCATGACGCGTATGACTACTCCAACCCCCTCGATCTTATTACCTTGGCAGTGACCTGTGCACTGGCCCTTACGAACTCTATCCGTCTGGGAAGCAGAAGCTCCATATTGGCAGCATCAATGGATGCTCGTAGTGAGGTATTAGATGGCGAATCGCCATAACCCAACGCCGATCTCGACTGCTCAGGTAAGGGGGACATTCAAGGAGTGGAGGTGGACCAGGAGACCAGAAATCCTAGTCCCTATCAAACAACTAAGAATGAGTCCTAGCGAGAAGACTTGCCGGGGGCTTTTCTGAGCGAAATATTAAATAACTGTAAAAATGTATCGACCAGGGATCGAACCTGCGCTCTATAATTTTGACATATTTTCCGCTCTATTCGTGTAGGTGAGATTCACGTGTGATCGAAGCTCACAATGTCAGTACCACCAACTACAAGTCCCATGGGAACGAGTGCATTAAAGATTGTGCGAGACCCCTCCAGCCGGCTGGTACGGTAGGCCAATCTTGTCAATTCGTGGTTGAGCTCGACTGCGCAGAATGTAGTGAATCTGCTTCAGATCCGTACTACTGTTGGGTACAATCTATCACAACTTGTACTAGGGGTATTCGCCGTGAAATTCGTACATCAGTTCGCGGCAGCGTAAGCCTAATGCCCAAGAGCCCATGAACCATGTGCTGCTATAGATACGTCTATCCTGTATTCCGCGAGAGAGTTGTGGAAAACCCTGCATGGGGAATCGATGAATGCCTCTTCCTCATCATTGCCCCATGGGCTATCGTCTCATACTTTGGCATGGGGCTGATCATATCGCTGCCGACAGTAGGGAGCTCCCTCGTGCTGTTGAGTAATAATATCAACTATCAGGTCCTACACGTCCAGATGGGCCGTCATCAGAAGAACAAGCCATTCCCCTCAATATTTGCAGGCTTCGGCAGAGTTCTCATCAATTGGATCCTAGCCAGCATTATCAGGTGTGTGTGCAGCAACTACTTCGTTTTTATGTTACCCTCAGTTACTTCGCGTTCAGCAGAATAATGGACCGAGAGAGTAGGATCAGTCTTATGCGATGAAGTCACTACTCCATCTCAGGCTTCATTGAACGTCTCCCTAGTGGGGATGAAGTAGTGTGGCAGTTGTTTGCCTGTATCATCATAACCGAGATTGCATTCTACTACATCCATCGTCTATTTCATGTCAAAATTCTCTACAAGCACATCCATAAGATCCATCATAGGTTCGTACGTAACTCATACTGTGAGCACTCTGATGCTCCATTGTTAGATTTACAAATCCTGTGCCGTTCCAGTCAACCTATGCCCACCCCATAGAGCATGTCTTCTCTAACCTACTCCCTCTAATCATTGGCCCATTACTAATGAAATCACATGTAGGTCATCTACTGTGCCGAGTGTATCTCGGTCAGAACCCTTCAGGTGCTCTTCACCGGCTTCTGGCTGCAGCTGGCGCTCCTGAGCACTTTGGTTGCCCATTCTGGCTATAAATACTTGGAGGTTATAACTGACGCACTTACTCTTTGAGCTCAGTATGTCTTCGCTCAGTCCTCCAACTCGGCTTTGCACGACCTCCATCACGAAAGATTCAATTGCAACTATGGGGAGATAGGTTTACTTGACTACTTGCATGGTAAGGCATTGAGGTTCTTCAACATACCTTGTCGGCATCAGGGACGTACGAAATGAAGGTGGAGGAGGCTATACAAGGCATGGACGAACTTGGGGTTAACAACAAGGAGACTAAACAGAAGGTTCACTGATTGAGACTTCGCTCTTGATGTCAATTTTTTGATGATGTTTACTCTATTGCTACATGATTTTCTTTGAGGAATGATAATATCTTGCGTGAGCGTATCATACATTTCACGAAGGAGATTGGTATGCATGAATGTGAGGTTCGAGTACCATTAATGTCCACAAAGACCAAGATAGCCACGATAGCGTCTTAGACTGCGCCGGTGGAGAAGTCTAGTCAAGAGTTGACTCGATCAGACTGGCATCAAATACGGTCGTAGGTTGGATACAATCTGTCACATGTTGCTTCGGAGTTTTTTCTTTCCGAAATTGTACACATTGTGGAGAGGTTAGTCCTCGACTCGCTCCTGTTGACGGGTCATTGCCTTCAAAACGCTCTATCCATGGTACTCTAGGACATTCATTGGGAGAATATTCATTCATTCGGTCAATATATTAAGAGTGGTTCCATCGGGCTATATCCCAGTCCCTTCGGAGCGAGACTACTGCTGTCAATGAGGCCACTATTGCACTCTTAACTCGTTGTGAAGCAGGTCCTGCACTTGGGAAGTTGCAAGTCTAACCACTCCTTTATATCCACCGGGATGTCGTATTAATGACTAACATCCTTATGACGTGCCTCATCGGCGGTGTCTATACGTAAGCACATGGGCTCCATGTGATATATTTGTTTTTAATCAGATACTCGGTCCTGACTCATACTTCATACCTAGCTGGTGACCGTGAGTCTATTTCACATGCCTGCTCAGAAGACGAGGTTGCCACTCACTCTGATAAGAAGTGCCAAGAAAAAGATTTGCTCTTTTTTCGCTTATGTGTCTCGCACATATTCGTTTTTTTTCGTGTTGGAACTGCTGTCCCGTTGAGTTTTCGTTAGTTCCCAATGTAAGATGGCCCTAGTCGCGAGGGAAGTTTTTACTTGGGCGGTTGTGAGAATCGTATGGAACATCATATCTCTTCCATCATCGTTCGCCTTCGGACATTCCGATGGAAATGGAACACAAGTTTATCACTGCTCGTGTTACGAAACGTGCAATATGTCCCGCATATATCCACCATGAACAAAATGAACTTATCATCACATGAATTGAAAGAATCGATTAGAATTTCGCATACTGACCGTGTTAACAGTAGCTATGCGCTAGTCATGGATATACAGGCGGCACACGCCGCTATAGTGACCGGCTCTAACTGTAATACAAGGGTTCCTGCTGTTGTTGTACACCAACAGGGATGAAAGAATTATTATACTTCCCGACTGATCTGAGAAGGGAATTCATCCATACAGCATACTGCACATCACACCGCTTGCCTCATAGAATCGCCGGGAGCCCTAGGATCTCTCGATTTAGTCCTTCGACTCCGTTGCTAAAAGATGAGGAATCACCCCCTGCCCACTGCGGGTCCCAAGTGGAACCGCGAGTCGCTACCTTCTTCTCTGATGGAGGCGAGGAGACGGGTAAGTCATCCTCGATCCAGATGGAAAACCAGTCCACATCAGGATGAGGAGGGCAAGGCGGTATATCGCGGATCTCGTCCTCTCGCTGACCTGATGGTGGCAACGGATGCTTGCGATCGATAATTCATCAACTTCTACCAATCTTGAGGAAAGTTCTATCGTGGCTGTAAACAAGTAAGTTCTGACAGAGTGCACAGAGCCGAAACATTAAACCCATAAGACGGTACCTGAGCAGGCGTTCCGGACGCAGAATGATCATATCACCACTACTACCAGGGGAAGAATACGATTGTACTCAGTGAGCTTCGCAATTCCTTCCTCTGACGAAGAACGACCAACTGGAAGATAATAATTTGGATGTACCTGCGCAGATGATCGACCAACCGCTGCGAAGACCTGCTTTGAGCCGGGGGTAAGGAGTTTACTCACAGGAGACAAGTGAAAACTGATGTCATGAGAAGGAGACCAATCCAGTCACGAAGGAGGAGACCTGAGGGGTACGGACAAATGTTGAGTAGGGGTCCAGCAGCTGTGGTACCAGTGAGCAGGAAGGTTCTTAACCAATCAAGCAGGATAGTGAGGACCTCTTGGAGGAAGTATGGCTTGAGGATCAATGATGCCGCATGACAGAATGAAGCCGGGGAGAGCACTTCTCTGTGAGACAACAGATGTGACAACATAAAAGCCTCTTGTAGACGGTCGTCTGTAACAGACCCCTACTTTATATAAGTGAAGGTCTTCCTATGACTCGTCAGCTCCCAACTCTTCACTCGCTGACGGAACAGCATAGGGAAGGAGGCAGGTGCGTATCTAGTCGAAGTACGATAGGGTGTAACTCCTCGAGTCCGACTCACGTTGGGACCACTGACTGTGCACAGGATATGATCTTAGAATCATCACGGCGATGAAGTAAACATAAACCCATATACCTGTACCGTACATCATCCAAGCCTGCCATACACAAAGAATGCTTACATATCTTCCCCATGGAAGACGGTATCATGCTCATAGAATATCATCTCGAGGGCTCGTCGCTCCCATAATGCAATGGCACCATGACACGATAAGCATCGTGAGAGAGTTGACCTGATGAGTCATACACTCATAGACTCAAGTGAGAGACGGCTCACTGGAAGAGCTTATGCACAGCAGCTAGTTTGTACTCTACATCCTGGCACCTGACTAGCATATTCCTTCTACCATCAGGAGCTGTGGCAGTGATGGGAAAGTGGACCTATTCAAAAGTCCGCGGCTGGATGTAGCATGATACCCTTACAGCCTTGATGTCGGGATGGTTGCGTAGATGCTCATGAGGTATATGTAAATCAGCGGGTAGTGGTACATCATCATCGATGATTACAGCGTATCTACACACACAGGTAGGATGGGCTACACAAGTGGTATTACTTGAAGTTGGGCACTTTAGAGTGCCTCGCCAAGAAGGGTATCCAAAACTTATTACACCAATAGAAGGCGAATGTCTTGTTACCCTCAGGAACATAACTGAGTAATGAACACATAATGGTGATGCGGAAATAGTGAGAGTACATATAGTTGATATCGGGATGGGCCTCTATAGTAGCCATCTGTGTATCATCGACAGGTTCGGGACTGTTACCATTATCACACACGAATATGTGAGACGGTGGGAATACCTAAGAACACTCAATGCAGCCAATGTGATGAGCACTCCTACCATGAGTGCTGCCCTAAGAGTTCCAGAGAATAGCTCATATCGTTCCCTAGTCATAGTAGATTCATGACATGCTATCATGAGGCAACAGTCGTGCGTGAGCGATTGCTTTAATACCTACCATTTATTTGAGTAACTATTACAGCTTTGTAACTAGGTACTTACAAAGGAAAGGCTGCGGGTATCAGTACTAGTGCTGCTACCAGAGAACGAGCCACTATCCTCAGAGTCTAAGGCCGATGCCGATGATGATGGTGAACCTTCCATCATCATCAACAATAGTGCTAGTAGTAGGTGTGTAATGCTACTTTCTGACGCGAGCTCAGGACCATCATCATCATTGTTATCTTCAGTCTGCCTAGCTACAGACTCCAATGCACCCTGAGATGGTATGCACTGATAGAGGCAGGTGTTGTTGGCCTGCTGACCTGTAGATGACGACTGAATACTGGAGCACGGGGCCACTTGACTGTTATAGCAGCAGCAAGGAATAGGCCAGTATCCAAGATAACATCGATGAAGATAATGAGGTCCAACCAGGTATGGACTTCCCATATCGATACATTACCTGATGAAATAGGGTACTCGAGAAAGAGATGGTAGAAATAGTGACCTTCCAAGACCTCGAGAGCATCAGCGCCACCAGTACTGTTCTGTGGCGACATGTAAATAATAAGGTACATAGTGCAGACCAGTATCTAGTGGTGCTCGTAATGGTCATATACTTGTCATATCAAAGCTACTTCTAATACTTACCGCAATATAAAAAGTATTGAGGATAACTGTTCTCATCAACTGTCTACTCGAGAAGGAGCCTTGCTTCTTGCTCTGTAGCTCCTTCCATTGCCTCAACCGACGACGCCAAGCACATGATTCGAACCTATCACCATCACTACACTACTACACAACAGTATTACATTACCTCTTTCTGGGATCTCTAGACTCCATCTGGCTCTTTGATATCCTTGTAGACCCAACCCCACCGAATGCCGACATACGATATACACCACCATAGGAGCTGTTACTACCAGGCATGGAATTACCTACTGTGGGTAGTGACCGATGCACTTGTCGATACACGCTCACTCTTCGGAGAGTAACCCATTATTGCAGATGGAGTCGAGTAACGATATGAATCAATGATATTTCGATCGATAGTAGTAGGTGGGGACACATGATGGGCGCTGAGTGGTGGTATGAGCTGTGGAGACTGGTCAGGGTAGCGCATGCCATAGTTGGAGCCAGTACTAAAAGAAGATATAGCCGTAGTAGGATATACCTGCCAAATAACTCACTATCTGGTCATTGAGCTCTCCGACCCTGCCGCAGTGCTTGCCTGGTCGCTGCCCTGAAGGGAACATATTTTGTGTTTTCGGGAGGAGACGAGCCCAAGTGATGCTACAGCAATGCTAGCTTCGACAGCCCAACTTTCCTCCAGCCTTCCTCGGAGCTCTTGCCTCTTAGCTGGCAATATCACTGCTTGCCGTGCCATACCCTGATCATAGAAAGGGAGATATGGGTGATGAGGACAGGGTAATGATGGCTTACTTCGGCACGTTCCTTGCTTAGTTTAATATCAACATTACGCAGAATAAGCTCGCCCATAAACCATATGAATAGAACAACGGCTGCGCCGAGGATGAGACCTAAACGGTACACGTGGAGAAACTGCGGATGCACAGTATCATTAAACCTACCTCTAATGGCAGTCATATTAGATGGAGTCACTTTGAAGGAGGAATCACAGTAGGAACCAATAGAGACCTCTTTGCAAGGTATAACCAAGGGCATCGGCAAAGGGTTATCACCAAGTATAACCATACAAAGATCCTACCATCCAACAACATCACCATGTACACTAATCACTAGCTCGGCGTAATACCTGTTTGTATATGGACACTGTCTCAACATAAGGTAGAGTGTCAGGATCGGGGCATCTACCTGGTATCGGGAAGGTAGAACCTACAGTAGATGGCCAGACTGATATGGACTAGGACCATGGGTGCACTACAAGTGCGATCACAGGGCCTCCTATTATAGCAGACAATGTCGTCCTCGAAGTCATCAGGTATAATGCATTTACCCTTATACTGTGAGGGATGGCTGTCCGAGGGCGAGAGGCCAATACTTGCTATATATCGGGCTAGGCTGTCGGCGTAAGCAATACTAGTGGAGCACCTGAGGAATACGTTGGAAGCGGGTGGACAGCCATAGAAGCTACCTCGGGCCATCCACATGGGAATCCCTCGTATTGATGATGAAACCAGGGCAGTCGATAATAGGCCATGTATTGAGGTTGGAGTCGTAGATCCAGGATACTCCCTGTGCAAACCTACAATGACAAAAGCATGCTCCGGCTTAGGCCAGAGGGAACAGCAGCATTCTACCAAGTGGCAGCGAGGAACAGACATATACCAAATGCAACGGCGAGGACGAGGACTCTTCGTATAATGGGTAGAAACGATGGCTTGTCGTATTTGTGTTTCACCTAAGGGAGGAAGCAGCGAATAGCAGGAAGGGCAAGAATGGAATCTCACAATGACTCCTGGAGCATCGGGTGCAGCGGTGGGTGGAGAAGTATTAGATAACAGGGCCACATTGTTCTGTGCGGACGTCATTGGTTGAAGTTCGTCATGGCCAGTGACATCATTATGGCGATAACGACGGGTATGTTGATGGATAGGTGGGGTAGTAGTTGTAGGTAGAGACGATTCTCCGAGCATTTAGATGATGAAGTCGATGGATAGGCGATAATGACGATTACGAGGTTGACGAGAACGATGACGAGTAGAGCTGTCCTCGGGAGCTAGACCAGCAGTGAGGGCCCAAAATGAATATAACTACAGGGAACGCTATACTTGATTGATAAAGCAACTCTGTGGTTGATAGGAACAACACCAAGCAGTCCACTATGATGGACGGGTCATGCTGCAGGGAGAAGCCATTCTTCGATCTATGCTGCATACCATTACTGGTAATGAACTACTCTCAGCATTAGCAGCTCTAACACACAGGACCTGATGACAGCGCGAACCCCTATGGAGTTCCACTCACTCTCAAGCATGCCAGGAGGTCCGGGGTAGTAGAATATCAATAATGGTCTGGCATCTTGAACAACAACTCTGCTAATCGACATATGGTGTATACAGTTGCGTGAGAACGTCCTTTCATCGTAAAGATCATCAGCTTTTCCTTCATGTGTTCGATCCTAACCACTTGACATCCACACCAATCAACCAACAGACAGACATCATACAAAGGCAACAGTGGCGAACAGAAGATCGGCTTTCAGTCTCAAAAACCTCAGTCCTGACTCGGTCAAGAAAAAGATACCTTCAAGGTGGACATATATCTTCGAGATGACCATGATCGTGTTACCGACTTGGAGTGATTGGTCTTTGCCGATCTTCGGAACCTTCCACTGCGCACTGTGCAATAGAGACCTCTGCATCCAAGCACCTCTTCGAGGAAGGCACTGGATGTGAGCTAGCAGGGTCCGTTCACCAGCCCGAACGGAGTGCGATATCAACGTCGTCCTTGTGAAGCATGGTACCGCTAACAGTAGTAGCAACTGAATCCCAGGGAAAAGGCGTGACGGATCAGGTATAACATCATCAATGATGAGGGACTAAAGAACACACCATAGAGCATGAATTGACAACATACTAGAATACAATACATTATCCTTATGGCTACTGTCAATGCGGCGCCATCATCCAATGAAGACTCGTTAAGGATTGTTCGATAAGAAGGACGGCATAACTAACAGCAACTTGAGGGACTATCAAAGCTATCGAAAGCAGCAATGTCTGGGATTTGCTGTAAGTAGGACGAATGCTATTATGGATACCATGATCATCCATAATGAAGTCCTCGATGCATAATGATAGGCATGATGTCACTGATAATAGCAGAGATAGTAGTACTGATACCAGTAGTCAGCTGATGATAATGATCAATAGTTCAAAAATGGTATGGAAGTATGACGAGGTAATAGTCATAGCATCATGGGCCATGCTTCCAACTACACTAATATCTTCCAGAAGCATCTCTACCGGTACGGTACTTCCCACCTTGCCTACGATAGTAATGCTGCTCCAGAGGGTAGCTGGGATCGCCTTGTGATGGAGGAGGACCTTGTTCATATTGTTGATAAGCGATGCTACCACTCCTATTAGCATCGTAACGGGATGAACCGCGATAAGCTTGATGAGCAGAGATGCCAGTCGCCGCCGACCCAGTGTTAGATGATTGCTGCTGAACTGGACTTCTGCCAGCACGATCTAACATCCTTTGGTCCTGCGCCTGTGGTTGCTCATCACGGGTCGTACCAGTTGCCAGAGGTGGCCCGCCGATGAGAGTACCAGAAGAGGGAGGCGTATTAGTTGCTGCCCAGAAGTTGGGCTGCTGTTGTTGTAGTTGTGGTTGAGCGACAGACGGGGTGGGCTGTTGTTGTTGTAGCTGTTGTTGTAACGACAACATCGTACTGTAAACCCTCATAGGGTCATAGTAACCCACACCTCCACCAGCCCCAGGCGGCGTCAAGGAGGTCCCCGCCTGGACAGTCATGCTTGAGGGGAAGCCGGCAGCATCAGCACGTCCAGAAAGACCAGGAGGTGGGCCAGCGATGGAAGGGAAGTCAGGCAAGAGTGATGACAAACCCCCCTCCATGGTGAGGACACCTCCACTACCAGAAGGGGTGAGTGAGGACGATAGACCGGCCTGAGGCAGGGGAGGCATGAACGGATTTGGAGGGGTGTCCGTGCTAGACTCCATAGTAAGGACTTCATCCGTCTGCGTCTCAGTCGTTCTTTGCTTGATATTAGGAGTGATAGGTGACTCAGTTTGTACAGAGGCATTGATCAGCAGCATAGTCTTCCCCCACTCGCTATCACTGATGGGGCTAGTACCAGCTTGGACAGTCGAGACATTACTAGGAGCCACAACAGGGGGTGGGGGAGGCGGTATAGTAGGTGGTGCAACAGTAGGTAGAGATCGGCCAGACTCTACGATCTCCTCAAGAAGGATATCAACAGTCGAGGTAACCATTGATGAGCTATGGGTAGTAGCAGCTACGACGTCCTCCTCTTCCTCCTTCACCGGGATGACCAACTCCTCCTCCTTACCAACTTCCGGGCTGCGATCGGACGCTACTCTTTCCTCATCATCTCTACCAGTAGAAGGCGTCTCAATCTCTTTTGAAGTGACAGAAGGAGCGTGCTTCTCAGGTATGCGATAATAGGAAGGAGCTATCCTCGCATTGTCCCATACGTTAGGCCAAACCTCTCCAACTGGTGGTGATGGCTTGCTTCGATGAACCCTAGGGGGAGTAGAAGGTGTACCATGAGCCTTACCAACATGCTTCGCACCTCCACCAATGCATGGAGTAGGAAGTACCATCTTGGGCGCCGAGACAGTAGTAGTGGGAGCTCTACCAGGGGACACTGATTTGGTGACCGTCCTCTGTGGGTGTCCCTCTGCAGTAGCAAGTGGTCTGCTAGTGGCCTTGAGGGCATCATCCACACTTGGGGTAGTAGAGGAGGCCACATCATGGACGGGGTCGACGGCAGTAGGCTTGGTGGAGTGCTCCTTCTCTGACTCGAGAGGAGCGTCATTTCTCTGTTGGGTCTTCTCGGGGCCGACTGCTGCCTCTGATGTCATCTGCCTCCGCTTCCGTTTATCCAACAGTTTCTGCTTACGAGTCTTAGTGGGTTGGAATGAGTCTCCTCTTACGACTGTTGTTTCACCGAACATACTAGCGGGTTATGGTAGTGGCCTTCGTAGTGTGAGAAGAACTGGGAGGAGGGTGTGACTGAGGTAGTCAATTATACAAACTGATAGTACAAACATTCATGTGACTATTCCTCTCAACGACCCACTTGCCCATCATTCAATGCATTCTACCACTGTATCTCTGGCGAGTCCGTAGACCACCTCTATGTTGTTATTCCAAAAAGCCCCCTTTTTGAAACGGCTAAGATACTCCATGATGCTATATCGACCGTCAGAAAGTTGGAATGCAACCACCGATTTCTTTCTACCCCCAACACGACTAGAGATATACACGTCCGAATAACGCCTTATATGATGCAGAGGCATCTAATAGTGGCGCAATACACCCCCGTTCCCCCGCGAAGATGGTTGAGCCAATCGGTGCGGATGACTGCACCGTGGATCTCGCGCGCCGGAGTGATCGATTGCATCATGATGTTTCTATCAATAAGAACTTGGAAACCTTTGCTAAGATCATAGTAGGGCTCGACCGATGGACGTTATCTCACGGAAACGCGATAGGGTGCATCGCTACGCTCCGTCGAAGTCAATGATTGAGATATGCTGTTAAGGTAATCGAGCTGCAGACCTTGCTGTAAGGGTGTCTTAGTTACGTTGGTGGCGTCTCGCCCAATGGCCTTAACCCAACCAAGTCAGTTTGACATCGTTCTTGTCTTTCCTTAGAGGGTTCTCTACTCGCGAAGTATAATCAGACACGCACCACCATACACGAAATTACGACAATTGAACTAAGACGAATTACATCCGAGACGCCGCCGTTCGTGTTGTGTTAGAAACTCTCTATCGGATTGAACTCACCAGTGCATTTTTCAACATGAGCTCGAATCAGGAATCTCTGACCACCACAGGCGCTGCTGCACAACAGAGGAGATCGGGCGAGACTGGTCGTCTAAGGTGGCTACCGTCGGCATCTGTGTAACTACCAGACTCCTTCATCAGTTCTGCTAGTCGGCCCTCGGAAGTGGTGGACACTCGTATGAACCAACAAGACCTTGGGGGCTTCCTTGATGAGGACGATACCTCCTTTGCCGACATGGTCAACAGCAGTCCGGTGTCAGCTTCAAACGAGGTGATAACCTTAGCCGCTACGACTTCTGTGGGTACTTTTCGTGCAGGCTCCACGAGATGACAAACAGGGAGCTACGGCTGCTGTCAATGATGTAGACTCACAGGAAGATGAGGATGATGATGGCCCTGATCTGTATACCCAGCTGCAAGGTGGGAATGATGCCAGTCGATAACACTGTTAGGATG